CCCGGTCCGGGAGGATCCCACATGCCGCGGAGCGGCTGGGCCCGTGAACCATGGCCGCTGAGCCTGCGCGTCCGGAGCCTGTGCTCCGCAACGGGAGAGGCCACAAAAGTGAGAGGCCCGCGAACCGAAAAAAAAAAAAAAAGTAAAAAAAAAATGATGGCTTAGATATACACTGGTTGACATAGAAAGATATTCTCAATGTATTGGATTGAGTTATTTAAACAGCATGTTATAAAACACTATAAATATTCAAATGTTCTAATCTATTTTACAATGTCTTCATTACTTTTTAGTTACTTTTGTAATAAAATAACTAGTCGTATTGTGGATAATAGATAAATGAGCAAAGTACTGAGATAATTCACAAATGAAGAAATAAAAATGGCCAATAGGGACTTCCCTGGTGGCACAGTGGTTAAGAATCCACCTGCCAATGCACGGGACACAGGTTCGTGCCCCGGTCCGGTAAGATCCCACATGCTGCAGAGCGGCTGGGCCCGTGAGCCATGGCCGCTGAGCCTGCGCGTCCGGAGCCTGTGCTCCGCAACGGGAGAGGCCACAACAGTGAGAGGCCCGCATATCGCAAAAAAAAAACCAAAAACGATGACTCATCTCGTGGTGAGTATTTCCTAACGGTTCTTTGTGGCTTCTCTTCCTCTTCCATGATACCCATCACCAGGCAAGGAGGGAAAGACAAGAGTGGCTCTGCTGAACGCATCCTGTCGGGAAGAACGATGCACACGTGGTGAGCCGGAGAGCTGCCGCCCAGACGCCAGCCCGCGTGCATCGCCCACGAGCCCGGCACAGAAATGCCTGTTGGAGGTTAGTTAGCGTCCCCTGACGAAGGAACTATATACTTCTAGAAAGAATGCCCAGGATTTGTAAGTAACTTGTCATTCCATTCTTAGATATCAAAACCCTCATGGGAATGAGGGTTTCAGATTGGCTAGTCACTTCAAACACTCCAGAGGGACAGGACTTCATAGTGCTGCCTGAATAGAGGGGAAAGCAGCTTTGGGGACAACCTTCTGGAAAGGATGGATCCTGGCCAAGCTTCTTGGAGAGGGTGGGTTGGGTAAATTAGAAAATGGAGGCAACAGGTATAAACTAACAAAAAATTGAAAACAACCAACCAACCAACCAACGAGCTATATAATCTTTGCCGGTTCTCACTTTGGCCCTTGCCTCCTGGATCACCCACGCAAAGCCTTGTCCTAGACTTTTCCTGTTCTAAGGGTCCTTGCATTCCTGTCACCTTCCTCCTTTAGCATGCTTCCATCAAGAACATCTTACTGACCACAACAAGCCCAGTTTCTTTCCTGCAGCACTTCCGATGGTCCTGTCCTCCCCCAGCCGGGACCTGGGTGTGGGGGTGGGAATTAGGGTACTGACGGCCCTGGGAGCTGCAGGCTGCCGGTCCTGGGCCCAGCCCAGTGGACAGTTATTGCCCGGACGCCTCCTGCCTGCAAACAAACAGCAGAAGGGCTCTTGATTCAGCAGCTGGCAAAAGGCTTTTTAACCCTGGAGACATTTAAGACGTGTTACAGGATGGGCTTTAGCAAAATCTAACACAAACAGTGGAGTGGAAAGACAGCAGGAGTGACTGTCAGCACCGAGAACAGGTTTTTCCTTTCTCATCCAGTCAGGGCTGGCACCACGCCACATGGAATCCCCAGTCCCTGGGCAGCTGGCTGAGGGGACTCCCACGGCAAGTTCACTCGGTCATGCCGAGGTGGAGTCAGGCACCCAAAAATTGCATGGCAATGAATCATAAACTTCCTAAAGCCCTTATTTGTAATCCCATGAGTCGTAAGGGGAGTTCTCCCATTTAGATAAGGGTTATCTGGTTTCCAAGCACATTCCTCCTGAAATCACCAGTTACTTCTCGGTCAGATGCCTTTAAAATCAGGTCCAAGTTTTTACCTTTTAGTATCTTCCCTAATTCTAAGGATTTACTCTATTTTCCTAAAATGTATTCAAGAACAAAACCACTATTTTAGTTACATGCTTTTTATACCCTTACCTACTTCTAAAACAACTTTTTTTTTTTTTTAGTTACATGCTTTTTATACCCTTACCTACTTCTAAAACAACTTTTTTTTTTTTTTAGTTACATGCTTTTTATACCCTTACCTACTTCTAAAACAACTTTGAGGGGTCACACCACTGAGTGCTAGGACTTTTGAATCTGTTAATCCTTTTCTAGACTTTTAAGGTACACTGACATTACAGGAAGTAACGTGGACAGAGGAAACAGCTTTGTGGTGGTGGTGGTGGTGGTGACAGTGTTGTTTTTAAAGAAGTGAATGAAGCATCGATACACTGCCTCAGAATGACCACAAAAGGCTCATATGTATTTGGTATATATGAGCCTCTCACTAAAACCTGGCCATGCACTGCTAGTGAGCATATAAACAGCAGCCCATTGTTTCTCTGAAAAGTAATTTGACAGCATGATTAGGAGCCTTAAGACGTTCATAACTAGCCTTTAGCTCAGTATGTAGATTTTTAGAGATCTAGTTTAAGACAATAAGCAGGCAGAGGTATCCCAGTACTTTTACATAGTAAAGATGCCTAAACAACATAATGCCACACAAATAAGGAAATGATTATATAAATTATTGCACATCCATGTGCCGTATGTCTGGTTGTACCCCTTAAGGCCTCACACAGTGCCTGATACACACTCAGGTCTCAGTAAACATTTGAAGAATTCACGACTGAATGAAATATAATGCAATTATTAAAATGTTTTCGAAGTACATTTAATGGCATGAGGAAATACTCACACTCATACTATTAAGTGAATTAAACAGGATGTAAAACAGTATATACAGCATGATTCTAAAGATTGAAAGGAAATATATGAATGTTGACAGAGGTCAACTCTAGTTGATTTCTGAATAATTTCTCTTACTAACATTTTTCATATTTTCAAAGAATTTTAAAACAATAATCACATATTGTTATTACAATTAGAAAAAAGAAACAATCAAATGTTTTTTTAAAGGCCACTCGGGGAAACTGTATTTTGATTTCTTGAATGAATGAACAATGAGCTGTATTTCAAAGTCAGCTAAAGCTATGATTCGTTTAAAATCAATTCAATTATATTCACTTCTGTAATTCTATTCACACATAGTACCTTCAGGTAAAGTGTATTATAGAAACTAATTCTCACAACGTCTATTTACCATCCTAGACAACTGAGTTAAGTTAGTACATCCTTCTAAAGATAATGAAAGATAACCATTAATCTCCAAAATGTCTTACATAATTAGGAAAATAAAAACATTTTCTAGTCCTCCACATTCACAAAATAACCTTTTACTTACTCATACTGATCTAAGTTGTTTGATTTCTTTCCTGTCACGTAATTACTTGGGATATATCCTTCACTCCTAGAAATAAGAAAAATACTTTAGATAAACTGAAATTATTTTACTGAGAGAGTACTAAAAGAAAAATTACTGCCTTTCCGGAATAAAGTATAAAACTGCCTAAAGCTTATAAGAAAGACTAGCTGACCCCCAGTAAGTAAATATAGCTATAGTATTTGATGCTTTACAAAGGACTTCCTCATTTGATCCTTACAAAAATTCTGAGGTAGGCAGGCATTACTGTACCCACTTTTTGGTGGGGAAACTAAGGCTTAGAAAGGTTGAGAGACTTTCTCAAGGTCTCAAAGCTAGCCAGCAACGGGGCCATAAGTTGAATTCTGAACTTGTGACTAGTTTCAGAGCCCTTCCTAATATTCCATGATGCTTCTTTTGAATTCACAATTTCTTGGGATGTTTTAACGAAACCACTACTTCAGAAAAGTTGAAGTGTTGGATAAAAACACCCATCACTCCAATACCTCAACAGTCTGTGTAATGCACTGTTTCACAGAGGGTCATGCCTGACATCTACATCAGTATCATCAGGTCACTTGTTAAAAAGGCAAATTCTGGGACTTCCCTGGCGATCCAGTGGTTAAGGCTCTGTGCTTCCAATGCACTGGGTGCAGGTTCGATCCCTGATCAGGGAACTGAGATCCTGCAAGCCGCATGGTGCACAACCAAAAAAAAAAAAGCAAATTCCTGGGTCATACCCCAAGAGATCTGAACTGAGAAGGCCTATGTAGGCCTATGGAATCTTTGATTTTACCCCAGATGACTCCTATCTCCTGTGCACATTACAGTTTAAGGAGCAATCATATCAAGTAAAATCTTGGTTAGAGCCAAGAATTTCAACATAAAAGAGATAAATGTATAAAATTTCTAAGTTGAGTAAAAACTTTGTAATCTTAAATTTGAATTTGAACTATTAGTAAGAACACATAACACACACACACACACACACACACACACACACACACACACACACCAGTGCATATATGTAGCTCTGTTGCACTGAGAAAGGCCTAGAAGCAACAACAGTCCAGCGGCAATTAGAATCCAAGCACCCCAACTGTTGTCTCTAAATATTGCTTCTTACTACAAGGAGCCAGAACTCCTTGGGGAAATGGCAAACTGCAGGTTTGGCCAGGAAAAATACAAGATGAACTTGAGCTATTTTAGTTTATTCAGAAAGCAGGGTAGCTGAGAAAGACTAAAAGCGTCCCCAATCAAAAACAGCTACCACTGACCCACGATGGGACAATTCAAGTAAAAAGAATAATGACTGCAATAGACTGAAACCAAATATATAAGCATCTATAATAACACAAAACATTACTGGTTACCATTGCTATCAACAGAGGAAGCTTGGTCATCAACTCATTATTTCTGAAAAGTTGGTAAAAGATAAGAATCCAAAATGTATCTGGCCTTTCCTGCATGAACTAAATGAACTGGTTCATGAGGCAGTTCTTCTTTAGAGATTTAATACATGCAGATGGAATGACAGAATTAGAAAAATCACCATTTTGCTATCCCTAATGGATCTAAGCAATAATCACCAATGGATGCCAAAACCATCAGGTGAAACACTGATAAAGAACTTTGAGATAGAGGAATAATGTTGACACCTGAACCAACGAGTAATCCTGGCATCACCAGAAGCGGAACAACCAGATATACAGGACACAGATACATATTAAATGACACCACGTGGAAGCAAACAGCTTAATCTAGATTGTGGCTCATTTCATAGAGAAAATAACCTGGTTTTATCAATAAATCAAAACTGAGAAAGAAAAAAAAAAAGGCTAGGGATTGTTACAGAATAAAAGAAAGACGTGAGACCTGTCAGCCAAAATGCAATGTGTGGACCTTGTTTTAACCTTGATTAAACTGTAAAATACAGATTAGAGCTAATCAAGGGAAACCAGAATTACAGAGTTGGTACTATCCTTAGACCTGGGCCAGAGGGTCCCTGCTCTGACCTCACACTTTCGAGAGGATGCTAAAGCCCATGATCCCTCAGCCCTCCTCTGGACCATCATCCGCGTAACTAGGGCCCCAGAATTCTCTGCCCGCTACCAGGCCCTACATGGGCCTTCCCAATGGGTTTCGTCCTTTGAAAGGCAAATGATGCTGATTGTGTGCACCCACTCCAGCCCAGGTCCAAGGAGTGACCAAGTTGGGGGGTGGCTTTTGCAAACCATGTGGACAGAGTTTGGATGTACGGCTGGGAGATTCACATGGTACACGTGAGATGGGAGCCCAGGGCAGAAGGGAAGAGAGAAGGGAGACACCTCAGGGAGCTGGCTCTCTGTGCACTATCACATTCTGGCATGGAACTCCAATCCAAACCTTGCCTTCCTTGTCATTTTGAAGGTATGTGTGTCAAGCTGGAGGATAAGTTATATCTTATTTACTAGTTTGTTAGCTTGACTTATAACTTCTAAATATTTAAACATATGATATCTGGGCTTTTATTTGTACGCTTCTTCTAGTCCTGAAAATGTTGCAGGAAAGCCTACAGATGATGTTTTTTAACTTATTATTAAGTATGATAATGACACAGCAGTTGTTTAAAAACATCTTTAGCAGTTAGACTTAGGGGTGAAATGACATGATGATTTGAATTTAGTTTTAAATACTTGAGAAAAAACAGTTGGGAAGATTTTAAAATCAAGACTGGCCAAATGTTGGTAATTTCTGAAGTCAAGTGACAAGAGGCTCCATTATACTATTATGTACTTTTTGGATATCTGAAAATGTCTATAATAAAAAATAAAAATCCATCTTCTACAGTGTTTGGCAAAAAAAAGCAGTGATGACCTTCTTGTAAACATAGATTAAAAGGTTTCCAAAAAGGTAATAATGCACAGCAAACCAGCACTCAGGAGATCTACCACTGCTGAGAAGTGAGCAGAAGACACGGACCCTGCCCAACCCAGAGGCTTCCACTGCTTCTCCAGAAGTGACCTGAGGAACAGAGAACTAGAACTGGGGGTGGGACAGGAGGTGAGAAAGCAGACTTGGAGGGAGGACATGCTCTAACCAGGACAAAAAAGTCCTCCTCTTCCTATCCACAGGAACTCAGAATATAAACAGGATTATATTTCAGAGGTAAGCACAGGATACAGAGCTTTCTTAATGAAGCCGAAGACTCATCCCCTATGTTTATCCACATTTACCCATTATTTACCAATAATAAGATTGAAAGGACTATTCTCTTTAAATCCTAAATTATTTTGTATAAATAATGTTTGTTTTTAAATTTCTTGAATGTATGTATTTTAGACATAGACCCATATGCACATACATATAGACAGAAAGACACACACACACACACACACACACACACACACACATTCTCTCTCTCTTAGACAAATCTAAGATTACTTTACCTTGGGGGTGGGGTGCGGGGGGAAGGGACCTAAAACGTAATTTCCCCCAAGAGCAAACAATCCAATTAGACATATAATGGATGAGAAAGAGACCGGTGTAATGGATTCTAATTTCTGGAAAGGAGTGGTTGATTCATTTATATTTATGGAGTCACTACTAAGAATACACTGTGTTACTGCAAAGTAATAACATATATTTTCATTTATGGCTGCTGAACTAGCCTCATTACATAACAGTTACAGGTTATCCTCTTCTCACTCAGTATTTCACTCCCAGCCACCCACTGTGTATCATCCACAGAGAGGGAATACCTACCCATATTTATCTCTTGCTTTCCACCAATGAACATCATTCTTTTCCAATATGATATACTCCTGGCCTCTCTCTAATCTGAGATCATGTGCTTCTGTCGCTTGGAAATCATACATGGCTACAACTATTTCTTCACTATTACCTTCTTCTTCAGGTGGAATTGGTGGGGGAGGCCTTCGCTAAGAAAAGGAGGTAACATATAAAGGTTTAGTCTTCTGTTTGAAACTGGGTGTGCAGTAAAACACCAAGCAATGCGCACGTCCCCACAGTATAAAGTCTGCCTTAGATAATCTGGTGAACCCGCACCATGAGTCCGATGATATTGATGCTACTGGACCTCTCATGGGCTTCAGAATTTAGGACAAGAGCAAAAGCTGTCTTTAAACATCAAACGGCTTCTGCTCAGTGTCAGGACTAGCTTTCCAGGGAGAGGCAAGGGTAACGTGAGTAGAAACCAGCAGGACTAAAGGCAGACCCACCATTTAATGGCCTGCAGTGGGGAAAAGCAGAACTACTTCTGTCAGGTCTCCTCCCACTCAAAGGAATCTGCACTGCTTTGTGCCTGCTGTGTGCAAGGCACACTCTTAGTATCTAGCTAGATACTGTTTCTCATTTCTTTTTAATTGAAGTACAGTTGATTTACAATGTGTTAGTTTCTCATGTACGGCCAAGTGATTCAGTATATATTCTTTTACATATTGTTTTTCATTATGGTGTATCACAGGATATTGAATATAGTTCCCTGTGCTGTACAGTAGGACCTTGCTGTTTATCTGTTTTATATATAGTAGTTTGTATCTGCTAATCCCAAACTCCTAATTTATCCCCCTCCCCCTCTGGTAACCATAAGTTTGTTTTCTACATCTGTGAGTCTGTTTCTGTTTTGTAAATAAGTTCACCTGCATTCTCATTTATTCTTAATACTAATCCCATGAAGTAGAGTATATAATTTCCATTTTACAACTGAGGAAACAATGGCTGAAGTATCCCACCCAAAGTCACTCATATCAGATTCATGCTGGATCAGGCTCCTCGTGAGTCCAAAGTACATGTGTTTTCTACCATACTCCACTATTCACAGTCACTCCTTTGTCATAATACTGTGGTCTCAAGACTGAAATATTCCTTTAAAGTCCCATACCTCTTGTATAATTCTCGAAGCCAAAATACAGGCAGAATGCCAGATGGTAATATCTGATACAATTAAATTGACATTATTTGACACCAAAAAAAAAAAAAAAAGTCAAGTGAGCCATAGTCTATCCATTTCCGATGTGATCCTTGCAGGGAGCAGCATCACAGGAATGAACATAAACATACTTAATAAACTGCAAATGTTTCCAAACATTAAAGACCAGCTTACCTTCTTTGTTTCTGGTGCTGGTGCTTGAGGTAGTGCTTTTCTTATACCTGAAAATGACAACGACAGAAACAGGTCAAAATGCCATCTACCAATGATTGATAGTTTTAAGGAAAAGTAAAAATGAACCCATAACAAGAAGTCCACTCAGACTCTCTCACTCTGGTGCATTTTGCTTGTAATACTATTTTAGAACAGATTTTTTAAAATGCTATTAAAGCCGGTTTGTATTTCTGCCTTCTTGAACAGACTGTAAATGCCACAGGGATTGGGGCCATACCTTGTTCACTGTAAACAAATGGGACTACATCAGAACCAAAAAGCTTCTGCTCAGCAAAGGAAACCATCAACAAAATGAAAAGGCAACCAACAGAAGGGGAGAAAATATTTTCATCCCACATATCTGAGAAGGGGTTAACATCCAAAATATACATGGAATTCACACAACTCAATAGTTAAAACAAATAATAATAATAACTCAATTAAAAGTGGACAAAGGACCTAAACAGACACTTTTTAAATTTTTTTTATTATTATTATTTTTTGTGTGTGTGGTATGCGGGTCTCTCACTGTTGTGGTCTCTCCCGTTGCGGAGCACAGGCTCCGGACACGCAGGCTCAGCGGTCATGGCTCACGGGCCCAGCCACTCCACGACATGTGGGATCTTCCCGGACTGGGGCACAAACCCGTGTCCCCTGCATCGGCAGGCGGACTCTCAACCACTGCGCCACCAGGGAAGCCCCAGACACTTTTTTTTAAAGAAGACATACAAATGGCCAATAGGTACCTTAAAAGGTGCTCGACATAACTAATCATTAGGGAAATGCAAGTCAAACCACAATGAGATACCACCTTATACATATTAGGATAGCAATTATAAAAACCACACATGATAACAAATGCTGGTAAGGTTGTAGAGAAAAGGGGATGCTTGTGCACTGCTGGTGGGAATGTAAATTGATGCAGCCACTATGGAAAATAATATAGAGGTTCCCCCCAAAATTAAAAATACAACTACCATATGATCCAGCAATCCCACTTCTGGGTATATACACAAAAGAAACAAAATCAATACCTTAAAGAGATATCTGCACTCCCATGTTCACGGTAGCATTATTCACGATAGCCAAGATATAGAAACAACCTAAGCATCCATCAACAGATGACTAGATAAAGAAAATGTGGCATATATATAGAGAGAATGGAATATTATTCAGCCTTGGAAAAAGAAGGAAATCCTATCATTTGTGACAACATGGATAAAGTTGGAGGGCATTATGGTAAGTGAAATAAGCCAGACCAAGAAGGACAAATGCCACATGGTATCACTTACATGGGGAAGCTTAAAAAAAAAAAAAAGTCAAACTCATAGAAATAGAGAGTAGAAAAATGGTTGCCAGGGGATGGGGGTGTGGAGGAAATAGAGATGCTAGTAAAAGGGTACAAGCTTTCAGTTATAAGATGAACAAGGTATGTTAATTACAACTCAATTAAAATATATAGAGAGCAAGAAAAAAAGATAAATAAGGTCTGAGGATCTAATGTATAACATGATGACTAGTTGACAGCACTGTAGTGTATAGCTGAAGTTTACCAAGAGAGTAGAACTTAAATGTTTTCACACACACACACACACACACACACACACAAAGGTAAACATGCAAGGTGATGGATATGTTTATTAACTCAATGGGAGGAACCCTTTCCAATGGATAGATAAGAATATCCAGTCACCTCATTGTAAAATTTAAATATGTTCCAATTTTGTTAATTATACCTCAGTAAAGCTTAAAAAAAAGAGAAGAGAAAAGCTGCTGATGGTGCTACATTAGGCTCACAGTTTTTAACAGAGTCATTTTTAGTAGGCTTTCATATTGTGATAAAAACTCCCAAAACAGGGCTTCCCTGGTGGCGCAGTGGTTGAGAGTCTGCCTGCCAATGCAGGGGACGTGGGTTCGTGCCCCAGTCTGGGAAGATCCCGCATGCCACGGAGCGGCTGGGCCCGTGAGCCATGGCCGCTGAGCCTGCGCGTCCTGAGCCTGTGCTCTGCAACGGGAGAGGCCACAACAGTGAGAGGCCCGCATACCGCAAAAAAAAAAAAAAACAACTCCCCAAAACAGACCTTCTGATTCCATGAGATGGTCCTACTGCTCACTAAATAAAAGTATTCTTACAAAAATACACCTACACTATGTTTACACCGTGCTAGAAAGTGTGAAGGCCATATTTAACCAACAGCAAAATCAAAATCATGTCACTTTCTCCCAATAATACCAACAGTATGTACATCCTGAGCACAATATAACTACAGAATAAAATTAATACTTACTACTTTCAAACAGATTATATCTTTCACATCCAGGCGCTAGTCTTTCAGTTTGTCTGCAACACTGATAACTTCCGTCTGCCCAAAATTTAGGATGATATTTAATCATAATATTATTGTTGTTCTGTATTTCTGTAATTCATAGACACATTAAATGATGAGTGAAATGTACAGAGATAACAGAATGTTTCCGGTTGATCATTCTTTCTCAAATACTACGTTTATTATGAGGAAACCTTCATAACATATAATCCAGCATTCAGAAAATCCATAGAGTTCTCTTTCACCACTTTTTTTGGTGAGGCACCCTTGTTAACAGAAGTGACCTCTGCTACACCGTGATGGATAAACACAAAAGTCAGCCCACCACCATTTTGTTCTGCAGAAAAATCGATGAGGATTATGCAGGTCAAATCACTGATTAATATACTTTACATACAAGTCAATTCATCCACATCAAATGTTGACTACGTAGGCAATTTCTTAGAAAATACCAAATCCTGTTACCGTAAGAGCCCAGTGCTTAGTCACCTCCAAATGTATTACACATTAAATGAAAGCATGTTCTTCTTAAAAACTATGTATATGCCACTAGAAGGAACCAGATTATAAAAAAGGAAGTTAACTTCAACATGTGTCACTTACAGTAACAGAGAATGTTCTTGGAGAAACACTTATTGTAGATTAAAAGATTATAAATGCAAGATACACTAGCCGTATCTCTGTCTTAGTGACAACAATGTTATATTCTGAAATTATGTACAGATTAATATTTCATTATATGAGTTTTACCTTCTTTTAACTTCTTCACCCACCGGTCCCTGCTTTGTGCACTAGGTGCAAAAATGTAAAGTGTGTTGGCATCATGCACAACCTGAAATAAGACAAAAGATGGAACAGGTGAGAAAAGCTTAGACACAGCATCTTGCCTAGCACAGAGCCCTTGGCACCACAGGCATCAATAAAGGATTCTGAAATGATTGACCAAAAGTCAATTACTTCTGATCCAAAGAACCTAGATTCCCTTCTTACAAAAACACATCTATTTCTTCATGTCTCCATCCAGTGGGATACACATTTTACAAAGGACTGTGCTTTTACAGAAAAAAAATATATACAGAGGCCAGGATGCCTTGCCAATCTTGTTATTTCTTGAGATCTAATAAACTAAAGTTCCTTAAGTAAACTTGGTATAACAGGGACTACTCCAATCGAATATTTTTCTGAATAATATTTGAGATGAATGGACTACTGTTTCAATATCACTCCTATACCTTCCTTTTGCCACTATAAATAATTGCAGTAGGTAGCTTAATTAAGCACTGACCACCCCAACTCTATACTTTGTGCTTTACAGACATTAACTCAACTAATCCTACCATCAAGGTATTAGTATTTCCATTTTACAGAGGAGGAGACTAAGGCCTATCCAAGACACCCCAATTCTAGATCACTCCCAGAGGCACTATTCACATAGAATGCACTGCAAATGGTGTCCCTTAAGTTACCTGCCCATCAGCATTTGGCTGGTCATCCAGAAAGCCAGGATCCTGACTCCAGAGCCCAAACTTTTAACCACAGTACCTCTTTCAGAGGTACCTCCAGGTAAGCAATTAAACAGTCTTATTCTTAATATTCAGAATAAAATTAAGCATGGGAAACTAATCCAAGAATTTTGTCTTTGGTCTATCACTTTATCCTTGATGGTCATTCACAAGGCAGAAACACCCCAATTGACTAAAAAAATATCTGGGGACTTCCCTGGTGGTCCAGTGGTTAGGACTCCGTGCTTCCACTGCTGGGGGGGCTGGGTTGGATCCCTGGTCAGGGAACTAAGGTCCTGTACGATCCCACAAGCCGCTTGCGGCCAAAAACAAAAAAAAAAACAAAAAACAAATCTGGCTAGAAACCTCCTTTTACCATGTCTGGATTGAACACAGATAGCTCTTTCATCAATAATTGGCTGTTCCTGACCATATTCAATAGGTAATCCTGTGGAATAAAAGTCATATTTTTATGGCAAGACAAGCGAAATTTAAACAAAAAATTCTTCTCTGCCCTTTGGCCTCCCCTCTCCCCGCACTGTGCATTGTATAACTCTATTATGCATCACCAAACCTCCCCATCAGCAGAAATACCTGCTCAACCCTAAAGAGCAACATTCTCCTAGCAGCAACAAGACAACTCCTTAAAGATAGCATTCCTGGGGCTTCCCTCGTGGCGCAGTGGTTGAGAGTCCGCCTGCCGATGCAGGGGACACGGGTTCGTGCCCCGGTCCGGGAAGATCCCACATGCTGCGGAGCGGCTGGGCCCGTAAACCATGGCCGCTGAGTCTGCGCGTCCGGAGCCTGTGCTCCACAACAGGAGA